ATTGTTTTTAAATTAATAGTCCAGATTTTGACAACATCAATGTTGTCAATCTCAATTATCAACAATTGTACAAATAGCTTTATTCCTCTCTTTAGAGGAGTCGTGTTCGAATCTTGGGGAACGCGACAGAAAGTACTAAGGGGGTAAGTGGATAGATGCACACTCAAAGCGAATAGTATGTACAGTATAATGGCTTTGGCATTGAGACTGAGTCGTTACAAGTTGGAAGTTTATGTGATTAATTGTACATCTTTTTGGTTTGAGTTTTCTTAATGTGGTCACCTTGCCCTCTCTACTCTGTACCTTCTTTTCTTATAAAAAAAATAAAAATAAAAAATAAAAAATTGTTCATTGCTGTGTTCACCCCCCTGGGTATATCCTGTTCAAAATAAAGATGTAAATTGTGAATCGTTTGAATAATTTCTTGCAGATTGTTAATTATCAATTGTATATTTAAATTGCTGACCATATATATTTAAATTGTTGAGTTATTCTCCTCTTCAATGCCATTTTGTTCTTTCAAACTTAAATATTAATGTTGCTTATACAATTCCCACTCGCTTTAAATGTCTAATCTTGTGCACCAGGAAGCGTTTGGATGCCACACTCCAAGATTTAGAAGAAAAGCAAAACAGCAAGAAAGAAGCGGTTGGTATCTTTCCCTTTTTTTATCATATGTTTCTTCCTCGATTCTTTGAGTTTTTTTTAACAGTTAAGAGTGTTTTTGTCTATTGTCAGCAGTAATAAGTCAAATTAACTTCTTGACTTACAAGTTACACCCTTCAATTTAGAAGTGGACACGATAGAAACGTGAAGGAGATGACCATCGGAGGAAGTAAAAAGTTGTAAGGAGATAAAGAGTGGGCCCATGATATTTAAATTAACAAAATTGATTTGGAGGCATAAAACCAAGATTTTTAAGGCATGAAACCAAGCCCATTTAATGTTACACTCCCTAAAAGGTACATCAAAAACTATAAGAAATATTATAAAAAAATTTATGTTTGTAAGACGTACTCATGTATCCGTGTCTGGATTTTGGATTTTTTTTAGTTTTACTATAAGGATCTTATTATCTATTCAGAGATCATTTGAATATCATTAGTAATGACGTCCCGTATCCTATTTTTTAGAAGGAAATGTATCCGACTCCTAGATATTTACTTGTATCCGACACCATACACAAGTCCGAGCAACATAGGATGTTATCGACAGATTGTAATGATGTTACTGCGATCATCTAAAAATTGAAAGATTCAATAATGTTAGTTACTTACCAGTGGATTTACTTTGTGAAAAGAATATAAATACAAAAAGCGTTTAACATGTGGAAAGATTTTGCTAGAGTGGATAAGACTTAAGGCAAAATATGCAGTAAAATAACTTGAATATGGCTTCTTGCTCCTATTGATATAATCAGTATATTGTTCATCATGAAATATAATTCTAAAGAATTTGGTTTCTACACATATAATCTGGCTCATATTTTATTTAGATGCCCTGAGCCCAATTACTTATTGTTTATTAGATCACTTTAATTTTGGGCTTAACTTTAAGATAGTATTTATACACAATTAATTACATGTGTCAGCCCACATGGCAAATTAGATAATTTCCCAATAGTTCTATGGTTATGAGTAGAACTAGATGTTTACCTTTTGATACAGATAGTGTAGTTGGAGTGGGGAGGGAGATGGAGGAAATGCATAACTTAAAATTATTTTTACTTCCAGGAGGATAATATAAACATAGCTCAAGAGAATTGGAAGTTATAATAAGCTCGCATTATTCTGCACATCAATTCGTTAGACATAACTAATCACACTTTGATTATTAGTACTTAATCATATCACTTGTTTTAATTTTGGGAACTTCTGTTATTGCATTCGCTTTTTTATTCTTTTTTTCCCCTTCATTTTTTGGGTTCTTCGTACAATTACATTTTTGTTTGTAACTTTTACGTCAGATTGCAATAAAAGAAAAGGTTAAAAAGATATTGTTCTCCCATTTCCCTCGATCAGAATGTTAGCTTGAACTAGTATAGCATTCTTCTCACGTGAATTAACCAGTTTCTTGTAAAATTTAATTGTCATATTTCCTTTTATATTTTTGCCTATGCAGATTTTTAAGGTACAACAAAGAATTCAGTCTCTCCAGGCTGGAAAAGGCAAAGCATAACATGCCCGTATTATCACGAAAATTCTGCAGTTCTACTGTTGACATGTCGAGGCACAAATATGATCCCACTTTTTTGAGTGGCTTAATGTCGTGATCGCCTATGATCATATTCTAGGTTGTTAAAGTGTAGTTTTTGTGTTCAATTTCCATTTTGCATTCAGTTGATGTAAGGGCTGCTGAAGTTGATGAATTTTTTTTTACTTTTATGCTTGTTTGGTTGTTATAGATCTTGGTCTCTGAACATCAATTGAATGTCATATACATCGCGAGAAATTACTTGGCTCTTGTTACTAAATATATTAGGATTGGATAGCATTTGATAGTATTCATGCGTGTTTAATCCTTTTCCTACAAGTCACAATTTTCATCTTTTTCAATTTTGAATTAGAGTTCTAAGTTGCAGAATGATTCATTGTGGCTAGACCCAAATAATACAATGTAACGCGATATGTAGGAATATTGGTAATATTAGGATATAAAGAGATCTTGGATTGGATTTAAGCGAGCTAATAGATATGTAGTTTTCTGTATTTGAATTCTTGAATATATGGTTTGAGAAAAGCTATACTGCACCAATAATCTGTTTAATTTCTCGAGTCTTTTGATAATCTACGAGTGGTAATTCTCTTTGATTTTCCTTCTTCATTTAATGGTTCTTTGGAGGCTGGAGGAATGAATAGTAACAGTATAGAATATAAGGTAGCTTTGAGATGCAATGGTTTTGTGATAAGAAGGAATTACATTCCATATAAGATGGATTCCAGATCATGAACCATTAAGATAAGAAGGAACATAATAACCGGAAATTCATGAGTTAAGATCTACAGGTTCAGTGTTTGAAGGAAAGGAATATTTATTGCAACATAAGATTGTGACATTAATTTATTCTCTCATGGTTTGAGAAAATCAAATTGTTATTGTTATTCTAATATGTTATCAAACTTGGTAGTGATAGCCACATTAAACATGATCAAATTGTTGGACTTCTAATTTCTACTTGGTGAATGTAACCCCACATTAAAACTCGTGATTTAGACAATCAAATATTCCAATTGTAAGGTGGAGCCCCCCAAAAAGTTTTTAAAAAATGGCATTAGTAAGATTTATACTCATGATTTTTCCTTTCAATTGAATCTTCTTTTTGTTCTATCGATCAGAAGCATTAAGTAGTGACATTAAGGGTAAGTATCTATCCTAATCTTGATGTACCATGAGTTGACGTAGTTCAGACTATTCTTATTTGGACAAAACTTGAGAAAAAACTAATCAAATATGAAACATATATGACTTCTTTCACATTATGTTACCGTTCTTTAGTATTACATTATGCGTTCCCTTGTCATGATGTCATTGGCCCCTTCGTTGAAGTACATATGTGGGCATGCGAGAGCAAGGAAAGATTATATATGTTTCCTTGATGCATGCTTTTATGCATTTGTAAATTTAAATAAATAAACATATTTTTTAAATAAGTTAAAAGAGATATTTTAATAAAGATAGCAAATCAAATCGATCTATACAAAGAACTTCACGTGTCGTCTCAACTTGTTTTATTTTGTCATGTCATTACGAAGTTACGGGAGAAATGCATGCCTAATGGACAACACACAAAGTTTGCCATAGGGGAAGCATATAATTTGCTTCATGCTAGAAAAAAATCTATAGAAATTGTCATAAGGCAATAAACTATTAAAAAGAAAAAGAAAAACACAAGAAATAATAGTTTCTCTTTATTAGCAATATATGATTACATTCAAGTAATTGACAAGATTTGATTTGCTTTTAATCTTGTCAGGTGATAATGCAATGGTGGATGTTCCAACACTGAGGTATATCCATGGAACTATACCTACCAAAACTCAAAATAAAAATAAAAAATAAAATAAAATAATTATAATAATAATAAAAAATGAGTAAATATAAAATACAATTTTTATTATGAATTGAGTGCAAGATGATGACAATAATAAAATAAACAAGAACAAAAAGGAAATACTAAGATTTATGTGGAAACCCAAAATGGGGAAAAAAACCAAAGATAAAGGAGGAGAAATTCACTACAATTAATAGTAAATGTGTTTACAACAAGATCCCAATACTCTCAATTAAGATTTAAAATTCTCAAGAGGTTGTATGAATGTTATGGAAACAAACAAGCCGTGAGTTCAAAAACGCGTCAAAACGCTGGTCCAGATAATCCCATCACTCGAGCGATAGGTGAGCAGTAGGAGGGTCCCTGGAGAAAATATGCACGAGTAGCTCGAGTGGCCAGCTAGCAATAGGCTAGTGAAAATGCGATGACTTTTCTTCTCGGCCTATAATTTTTTATCTTTTCAAAACTACTTCAAACAAAAACTTCAATATACACTGAAATTTGAGTCAAACTACAATAATATCATTGGTATGACTCAGGATTGAATATTGTGGTTCCATACATGAAGGTTTAACCCATAGTTATCAAACTCGACCTAATCATCGACCCAAACCATCGGCTCATTGGGTCAATGGTTCAATTGGTGATTAGTAGTTGAATCGGTGGGTCAATGTTAGCTCTTAATTTTAATTAAAAATATTTTTAAAATAAAAAGATAGTATAAATGTTATTTCATGTCATTCTAGTTAAACTATATATATATATATATATATATATATAT